CCAGGAAATACCTTTCGCACGTACAGGATCGTTCCTCCTTTCCCAGGATCGTAGGCTGTTTCGAGCAGTGTGTTTGGCCACTCAATCGGCTCACCCAAAGTTCACCAGGGGAGAGATCTGTTCCTAATATTTTATATATATCGTGCAGGATCAAGCCCGCACAGGTATATAACTCACCAAATTTGATTTATTAGGTGCCATTTGCCCTTGTGAATCCTACCTATTCTAAAACTAGTTATGAATGCTAAATGATTGGATGCCTTAGCCATGACCAAGCAAAATATAATTAGGATTGATTACTCGGATTCGAATCTCATCGCGACATCACGTTACAATGATTTAAAGAAAGGCCTAGAAAGGCAAGCATGGGATTGATAACCATACCACCAGTGTGTCTTGCTTCTGTTTTTTAGTTGATCTCTTTTCTTCCCTTGGTCTTTTGCATTGAAAGTTCAGAATTGTTAACATATGATAATTTTTTTGGAATGACTATTACCTATTCATGGCAAGATTTTGAAATTCACGCACACAAACCTCTCTCTCTCTCTCTCTCTCTCTCTCTCCAACTCGGCTAACAAGGAAGGAACTAGTTTCTTCCCAATGGCAACCTGGTCTTCTTCCTCACTGTGGAAGGTCATGGGCACAGGGACCACAGTAATTACACATTTTGTAGGACTCCAAAATGGTCCAACACCTAATACCACCACTATACCCTATATGCCAAAAGTCCAAGACCACCCCATGCCACCTTTCAACAACCCAACTCCATCAAGCAGATGCTTTTTTGCTTCTTGTTTCGCAAAGATATAGATATGGGTGTTGCAGGAAAAAAACAGCGAAGGAGATTGAAATGATGGACAGAAAGAAGATAGATGAGACTATGACACCGAAAAAACGACGAAATAAATAATTTTACACGTGTTCTTTTCTTATTACATGAAGAAAATTAAAAAAAAAAAAAAAGAGACTTGGTAAGTTTTGGGTATGGTCTTTAGGACTTAGGAGAGAAAGAAGATATAAGAAAGGAAAAGGCTGGTGGGGCCTTTTTCTTTTTTTTTTTTATTTTGGGGGGGGGGGGGGGGGGGGGGGGGGTTGGAGGTAGGGCTATTGATCTGGTGGGCCCCTGGTGAAGAAGTCCATGCACGCCTTCTGATAGAGTGAATTGATTTCAAGGACCACTTTGAGCCAGGCGGACAGGCAGAAAAAGAGGAGACGTGGCATCTTCCATATGGTTTTAGAGCTATATTTCTTTAATCAAATTTGCTTGTCATAGACATGCCTTAGGAAATTGATGCTTTTGGCCAATTGTGGTTTCTATAATTGCCAGTTAGTCCACTTGTTGTATAGTGTGAGTCATGGTGCTGTGGTGGTCCTTGTTTCAATGTTGAGTTTGATATCATATGTATATACAACCTGGAGAGAGGAGTGAGAAGAAAAAATTATATCTTTCTCGATTTTTTAACTAAGATCAAGTGTAGAAAAAAAAAAATTAGTATGCACGATTAAGCATTGATATAGTAACAATTTGGTTTAAGACGCTCATATTCAATATATGTTATAATGATAAAAGTATTGGATTAATAATCGTAAAACTACAAGTTTGATTATGAAAAGAATCAGTTCCTCTCTTACCTTTGTAACCTTACTTCAACACACATACACTCACACTCTCTCTCTCTCTCTCACACACACACACACACAATCACTCCTTATCCACCCCTATCAGTTAAGTCCAAATCTCCTGGAGATAATCATGGTGTAGTAGTGGTTATTAAAGTCCAAAGAACATAAAGAAGGTTTTGTACATTTTAGCCCCACCTAAGTCAAAGAGTCTAAGATAACGGCTTTATGATTGTGTGTGAACAGACTGTATGGTCCATTCCAAGAGAAATGTAATCCCATTATATTTCAGGTCCCCCACTCTGATAATTTCCCGGAATAAAAGAGGAAAAAAATTAAAAAAGATTCAAGAATTAGGGTTTTTTTCATCATTTCTAGCTAGTTTCCTTGGAGAGTTACACCTAGTTCCATGGAAAAACTTTTAAGGTAACCAGCATGAACATGTATCTCAATTATAAATCCACGATTTCATTGATTCAAATCTCTTTCAATACATTTTTTTTTTATGATAGATCAACCACCACAAATTTAAATACGATAAATGCGCTATAATTAAACATCTACAATTACATCTTCACCGACACAACGTTGAGAAAAGTTGAAAAAAACTGTACCGAATAGGATTCAAATCCTCCGAATTGAGAAGTTGGGTGAAAGGTTCTTTGAATCCCCAAGTATTTTAGTATCTTTCCAGGTACAGAAAAATTTTAAAAAAAAATGTTACTAGATTCTAATCCCCAGGTAATGAATTGATTAATTGGATAACATAAGAAATATAATCATCATCGCCAGCTATTCAACAATGAACCATGCAGGAAATCAATGGCAAACTGTGTCTTTATGTATTATAATTAGGGGGCCTTGAACTAAAATATAATGCAGAGATCCGTATCAACCTTTGGATTGTGGTTCATTGTTCTTGGTCTAAGGTACATTATTCGACAGCAACATTGTTACATTGCACTGATACAATCTGAAACATTGCAAATTATAAAATATTCCTCATAATACAATTATACTTATAAACTTCTTTACGAGTACTTGGTCATTATAATTTCACGTGTACCAACCTACATTTTATAACATGTATACGACATGATTTTATATCCATATATATATATATGTGTGTGTGTGTGTGTGTGTGTGTGTGTGTGGACTTTGGTGAGAGAGACACAGATTGGACTTACAATCCAGGTGGGTTTCACTTGGGAATCGAGGAACTCAAGATATTGAAATATTTAATTTATTGTTTTTATTTGATATTACCCTTCAACAGTAATCATTTTCCTTAAATATATCATGAGGTTGTCTTGACCTTTCAGAACTTTTTTTTTACCAGACCTATGTCTTCTTATGCTCACCAAACACATTCAGTCCATAATCAAACAAGCTTTTGAGGAAAATATGACAAAAAAAAAAAGTCCCTCAATTTTTTATAATTATGTTAATTTTGCTGATATTCTAGGTTCTAGTAATTAATTACCACAAGGCTTTTTTTTTTCTGTGATCGTGATTAGCACGAGATAAGATATGTAAGAGAAGAGACGCTTTACTCCCATGAAGGCTGGGGACGAACCAGGTTCGAATCCTCATTTCCAATTTGTTTTGCATCAAAGAAAAAAGAAAATTGGACCGATGGGATGAGATAAGAGACATCTTCTTGAATCAAATTGATGATTGGAAAGAACTAGAGTGATGCATGTGAGATATAAATGTGTTGATTGTGGTGAGTAAGATGACACAAAAAAAATGTTGTTTTTATTAGACAGGTACTTAAATAACAGTGCCCAACAACCTCTCTTATATGTTCCCAACATGTACTTAATAAAACAGCTAGTCCAACCTTTTGTAGGGAAGGAAAAAGGGTGTCTGAATCTACCTGGAAATTGAGGTGGGGTTTTGTCTGAAACATATAACAGAAACAGCAGATATATCTAAACAAATGATAGAACATAAAATATGAGATAGAGACACAGAGAGGTCCAAGTGAGTGATTAATGTGTGTTTGTGTGTGTATGAGAGAGAGATGAGAGTGTGAGGAGGGAGTTCAAACACGAATACCAGAAAATGGGGAGTCCTATTAGACAAATCTTATCTCATCTCTTTATGATAATTGGAAAGGGAAGGGATCTTCTGGATTTTTTTTTTCTTAGATCCAAGCGTTTACTTGTTCAAAGTATAAACTAAGAGGGGGCCAAATATCAGTAATATTGCTGTCCTGCACGTGACAAAAAGTTACAACTCTCACATACATACTATGTAGACCCGAACAAAATAATATTCAACCAAGTTTTTGTTATTGTAACGTATGTTTGAAAAATGACATGTTTTGTATTTTACTTTTCACAATTATGATAGTTTTCATAGTATTTGGACATAAAATAAATAATTTTTATGAATATTCAGTGTATCAACATCTAATAATTTGGATGCAATAATAAAATGTCACGTAGTAGAAACTAAAGAAAAGAGGGAGACGATCAGTCATAGCCATGTTTGAAAATTAAATAACTAACTAGATTTTACTATTTAGTAACTATCGATGAAAGGAAAGCCGTTGAAGACAATGACTATAATAGCACACATAGTGGAAAAGACGAAGAATACATTTAAATCTCTGCAAGACCTACGATCTGGACATTTGAAGAGTAATGTTAGATTAGTTTTAAGAGACAGTTACTTCAATCAAGACTGTTAATCTAATTTTTTTTGTAATTGAAATCTTTTTGATTAAATTAATAAAAAAATGATCTTTTATTATTTTCCTCTACTGTATGTTTATCCATTAAAATTTATCCAAAATAAAATTCTAAAATAAGATATTTGAACCTCTCATCTAAAATTGTGATATTTGTGTAAAGTGGACCAACATTCCACTTGATCATCAATAGAGGCCAGAGTAACATGGATTGTTCTTACTTCTTTGAATTTTAGATGTAACCTATTCCTTCCACAGTACTTTGTCAAAATCAAAAGCAGGGCCAGCCGTTGGATGGCCACTGCCAAAGGGTGGCCCCACCATTTGATTTGTTAGCCAACATGGTAACATGGGGGTGTTTTCAACACAGAATTAATTCACCTGTAGAATCTCTCTTGTTTCTGAAGATTCATTAGTTCTAATTTTCAACTCTTGTTAAATGTAACTGTTACTTTACCTAATTTTCACTCAGAAGTGGAAAATATATACTGAATTGCACTGAATATAATGATTGAATTTTTTCATCACGCAAAACCTTAAAAGTACTCTCTCTGTCTCTCTCTCTATCTCTGTCTCTCTCTCATTGTCATTTCTTGCAGCATCAAATAGTTCCACGGTTTCCACATCAAAACTGTCACGCCTCTTAGTTAGCCCCCCCCCCCCCCCCCTCTTTCCCACAGTTTCTACATCAATACACAGAGTACTCACATACCCTCAGCTGCTCTCTCTCTCTCTCCGACACACACATATGTCAATAAACCACTTCTCTTCAGACCTTCCAGAAGCAATGTGGCGGACTCAAAAACAACCAATGATGATACAAACCCCAGAGTCCCCTCCTTCAAAACACAAAGCTTTTTTATCTCAACCCATTTGGTCCAACCCTCAACTCTACCACGCTGTACCCACCACCGCCTCCGCCATGTTCGGTGGCCAAAACACCTCTCTCAGCTTCAACCTAAATCGAGAAGACGAAGAACTCGAAGAACAGCTCACAGATGACAGAGAAACCATCACCCAAGAAAAGCAAGAAGACCAATACCAAACACAGGAAATACCAAAACAAGCCATGTTTGAGAAGCCATTAACTCCGAGCGATGTGGGTAAGCTCAACCGGCTTGTCATACCCAAACAATACGCAGAAAAGTTCTTCCCACTCAGTGGCGGTGACTCGGGCGAAAAAGGGTTGTTGCTGAGTTTTGAGGACGAGTCAGACAAAACATGGAGGTTTAGGTATTCATATTGGAACAGTAGCCAAAGCTATGTATTGACTAAAGGGTGGAGCCGCTTTGTGAAAGAAAAGAGGCTCGATGCCGGTGATATAGTGGTATTTGAGAGCGCCAGAGAGGACAAAAACAGGCTTTTTATTGGGTGGAGGAAGCGGACAGCCACCGTCAGTGGGGTTGCTCAACCAGGTATGGTGGTGGCAGCTGGAGGAGGTGGCAGTGGGTGGACCCGAGTGTTCTATTCTGGGCATCCTTATCCTTCAGAACCAAATGGGCCTTCTCTTCCATACCAACCTGACTGTCGTCATGCAGGTACCATTTTCCCGATCTGTAGATACATTACCCAAAACCCTATCTTGTTTTTTCTTCTTGCATTTACTCAAAATATCTACACATCCACGTATATATATATATATATATATATATATATATATATATATATATATATATATATATATATATATATATATATATATATATGAATGCATTTCCAATTACTTGGGAGAAAATATTTCAAGTTCATTATTTTTTTATTTTGATAATGAAATTATTTTAATCATGTGCACTTGTGGTTACAACGTAAATTTCGAATAAGTACGATCCGCCACAAATCTGTTCTCTAGGTTTTCTATTAAATTCCTTTTAAATTGGAAAGTTTTATGAAAACCCATGTAGATTAGAAAAAAAAATTACAAATTAAAGTAAAAATAGGATAAATTTACAAAACAGTAATTTGGAAAAACATGCACATTGTTGTACATGAGCTGGCAATTGGTGATATACATATAGTTGCTTGTAACTTTTTGTATGAATATTTACAACCCCCCCCCCCCCAACCCCAAAATATGTGTGTGTGTGTGTGTGTGTGTAATTACCCAAAAAAAAGTGTAAATTTGTGTGTATATCTGAGGAACTGACCAAAAACATGCACATGTTCTTGTTTATGCAGGCTCAGTTGTGCACAACCATAAGACACCCAGTGGAAACTCCAAGAGGTTGAGGCTGTTTGGGGTGAACCTGGAGTGCCAGGCAGATGATTCCGACTCACCCACACCTGAAAATTCCTCCATGTCGAGCCAGGGTCAAGCTCACTTTCAATATTACAATCCTACAGCTCATGGTTCAAACCATCACAATCAAAAGGTAAGCAAATAGTTTATTATTACCTTTAGATTAAGATGTGACTAGTCCTAGTTTCCTACTCTGATTTTTCTGCTTCCCCTAATGAGACAGATTTGCAGTAATAGTGTATTTAGATATAACAGTTGTGCTTAGACTAGTCTAACAAACTTTTATGCCTAACTAGAGGATTAGTTTAATCAGAAAAAAACCAAAGAGAAGACTGTTTCATTAGGATTAGTTTAGTACATGACTCATTTTACATCTTACAATCCACATTTCAGATGTTCGCAACTATTCATAATCCACGCGTATTATTAACTCGGAGTTTTTACATTTTTTGAGAGTTTTAAACTCAAGACGTGCATCTTTTGTCTCACTCTTTGATATACCATTGAAGCAACCCTTGTGGCTTAGGTCTCTTTGTTTGTTTAATCATTGAATCAATCCGTACGAATTGAAAACAAGGTATAATAGTTTTTTTTCACTATCAGAGGTAGTTTAGCTGACCAAGTAAGGTCCTTTTTTAGGAACCCATGAACCATATGAAACTAACAAAAAGAAAGTATAGACTTTTTTTGTTTTAACTTACTGCACCAGAGAAATATTGTCTGTGCAATTTATGCATATACACACATCACATACATATCTTTGTAATATATAGGCCAACCCCATTGCAAGTGGCAGCCACAGCTCTCTAAGAACTATCATCAAACAGTTTGGAATGGTGTGCTTGAATCCAGGAAATACTACTTAATTGAGGCATATCTTAAATGCTGTGGATTATCAGATCAACCATTTTGGGATTGACCCATTTGGGTTTGGTCAGTGGTCCAGAGAAGATATACTGAAACAACCACAAATGAACCATAAGATATTAGGTTTCTGGGGTCAGTAAGCCAGCTTTTAACCACTGTATTGTGATCAGAAACAAACCAATCGAATCAATCAAAAAACAGTTTGTAACAATATTACACAACTCAAATTTACAAGGATTATTCGATCAGTAGAGCCTAATAATTTTTTTAAAACAAAATCTACTGATCCAACCGTCCTTATTGATTTGAAATACAAATTTAAGTTACAAATTCTAAAAACAAAGCATTTCTTGACGTTTCATTTTGGAAAGTACCAATTCATCTTCATTAAATTCATCGAACTCTCCACTAGAACACTAGTCTAGAAAGGTTAAGTCTCTTCACAATGGATGGAGAGGACAAGAAAGCTCCACCAGAGCCAGAGCCAGAGCCAGATCAGGTTCTTTGATGTTCCCATGGTTTTGACCTTTTTTCAGGTTGCATTGAATCAAGATGTAAGCTTATCAATTTAAGTGATTCAGTTGCTAAACCTTACCTATGTACATTGATGATCACTGACAGTACTCCACTAGATAGGGTACCACTACTGTATTGGAAAGTTTTCTCGGGATAGAATTACTTTCTTTCAACGAAAACATAACACGAAAAAGGTCTATTTCAACTTATTTTATTGTTTCTAAGTTTAACGACTACAACTAAGGTATATATTGAATTTTTTGAAAATTATTTTTCGGTATTGATCCCGTAATGCTACCCACTAAACATATTATGTATATTATTTATGTATGCAAACCTTTGTAGCAATAAAATCTCTATCATATAATGAGGTTATGGTCCACCATCTTGTTGATCATGAATATTGAAACTTACGTGCTCAACACTATAATGGCTACTGATACTTTTACACTGTATATGGTTTCATCAGGATATCAATTTCCCAGAGGATGTCAACCAGATGAGATATCACCGAGGATAAGATCTGTGGATGTGACGTCTATGATTGACTTATTGGGACACTTGAGATGTCCCAAAAAAAAAAAAACCAATTCTTTTGGGAAAAAAAAGGACAAGAAAAATAAAAAAATTGGGAAAATCCCAGATTTTCTGGCAACTTTTCTCTCACTAAAAAAAAAAGAAGTGTTAATATCAAGCTCTCAGATCCAATGGGTACGGGAAGGACTAGATATAAAATGGAGTAGAAACTTCAAGAGACTTCAGGAAGGTAAAGGGTAGATTGGCTAATGTGTGGGTCCCAACAAGATAGGGCTGACGCCATCAAGATCAAGTGGGAGAATATGGGTCACAGCAATCAGGAATCTTCATACAAAAACTATGTGCCTACTGTTGAGATTCTGCCTGAAGATTTTTCATGGGGCTTCATCATCATGATATATAACAATAAGTAGGAGATGGTGGGTAAGTGGAGTTTTTTATTTTTATTTTTATTTTTTTTGGGAGGGGGTGGGGGTAGACTTTTACAGTTCTTCATCTCCTATAAGTTAATGTTAATTTCCTGTTTTCCTTTTTCTAATTCTTGTGATAGGCACGTTATGTTGTTGCTAGTCAGATGGCAAAGCTATCTTTTATTGAGACATACTGTGGTGATGATGATTATTTGTGCTGACCAGTTGTTTGTCATATTAATGGCCATCAACATCCAAATTTGTGCAAATGGCAGGGATAAGATAGAACCAATTATTTAAAGATTATGTTGGGGTGGGGGCATTGCCAACCCCAACCCCTCCCCCCCCCCTCCCCCCTCCCCCCTCCCCTTCTCCAACAAAAAAAACAAAAGTTTTATTTAAGCATGTGTCAATTAATGAATGACAATCAATAATAACTAATTTGCAGTCCAGGAGAATCAAGACTTGAATATATAATATTAACAATAAAATTGTACAACTTAATAAGAAAAAAGTAAGACTGTGTGTGTGTGTGTGTGAGAGAGAGAGAGAGAGAGAGAGAGAAGAGGAGAACTAGACAAGGGAAAATGTAAGGTATTAAGTTCCTCCTAATCTCAATCATGCAATAACAAGATTTTAACAGGTATGTATATGCAATTTGCCAGCAAGAAAGTCACTAACAAGGACATCTCAAGAAGAAGTCACCACCATTATCAGATGAAAAAATTGGAGTGCTTCTGAGTCGGCCTTATATGGTTAAAAACAGAGTCGAGTTGGATATGCTCTTCTGCCCAACTTGATATATGACACCTGAATATCTCATCCTTGACAACATTCTGAAGTGGCTAAATTACACAAGTACATCATTGTTTGAACCACTTAAGTTTTGAGTAGTCTATTACCCCATTTTTCGGTTTCCATGGCATTGCACAAGAAGCAATTTTTAAAGGTCAGACAATCTCACTTTGGGGTAAGGGTCGGCAACACAGTTTGACGATGAACAGGGTTTCCGGCCAGAAACAGATAGGATGTATGCATACAAAACACATTAACAGACATACTTTAATGATATGTTAGTGAGATAATATGGAAAATCTTTACATTCAAGGGTATTTTACTAGAGCTATGGTCATGCTTACTACTAGTTCAGGAAGCAAAGCAAAATCAGAAACAACGCTGGCAGCTTTACAAAAAAAAAAAAAAGAGGAAAGAAAAGTAATTACAACCTACCGTCTATGTGTTTAACACTCTGACAACTTACTTTTGCCAAAATTTCTAGAGATGTTTTCTGAAAAATATGGTTTGTAAAATAGTATTCTATGACAAAGTTTTTGATCAAATCAAGAGAACTCCAAGATTTACTTGTATATATATCCTCTGTAATTTAATATTCATGACCATTCTGCATAAACTCATCTCCCACCCATCCAACTATTTACTGATAACAAAAGGCTCCACTAAATCAATCATTAAAAGAATTCCTGGACTACATCAGTACTATGTAAATGGTAATGGCAACATCCTCTGAATTTGCAGTCACATGTAAAACAAAAGCTTTCAGTGGACTCAAAGATTCTAATACAATGAGCAGTTGAATAACACAACAAAAGATGCAAAGAAAGGGATTGATTACCTTTGTGAACAAGTGAATTAGTGTCATGTGATTATGTGGACCCATAGAGATTAAGACAATATAGATTGCCATTGACTTTTGCTGGCAGTGGTGACCAATGTTTAGTGGTTCTGCAAGTGGGAGGGGTCCCCAGGTATCTGTTGCCATCGGCCTTAAGTTAGTGGCCAATCGCAGGATTGAAGAGACTCCTCTTGTATAATGGGTTTGTGCTGCAACACTAGCTCAATCATTCATGTCTAACTACATTATAAACATAGACCATGTGAGCATTGTTCTACCTCTAATTTTGCGCTTTTTCTTGTTAGGCATTTTTCCTTTGAGCTTCACAGTCAACCTCAACTTCCTTCTTGCATCTGAAAAAAGGAAGGGAAACCAAGTAAAGATGCTGATACCATCATTGACAAGAAGTCCCTAGATAGCACAAAATCACCCAAAAATAAACTTAAATTCCATTGAGATAACTTACTTCAATCATGTGCAAAGTCCTTAAAATCAGCATAGTATATGTCAACTCAACTCAACTCAACAAAGCTTTGTCCCAACATTTTGGGTCGGCTACATGAAGCCACAGCAGTGTATCAGCATAGATTAGGAAAACAACTGAGATGCCTCCATTTTATGCATCTCCTATTGGGCACAATGATGAGTTGTTGAAAACAGCAGAGGAACCAGCACAGATGCTAAAGATACAGGGTAGATGGAAGACGGATATCAGTGTCGTGTGCTTGCATCAAGCAACCAATCCATGCCTACTACAATTACCTTAAGGAAGTTGTTCAATTATTATTTTGCAGGTGACTTCTATTTGCAAATACTTTCCAACCAAAAAACAAGACTTCTCTTTGCAAGAAAATAAAAGCACAGTACAAGTATCAAAAAAAAAAGAAAAGATGCTAAACGCCAATAACATGGTACTGCATATCAATACAGGAGAAGGATGATGATTACTCAAAAGGAAATGAATAATATAATGTGTATACAGAAGATTTCTCTTGCAACACATAAATCGCCAACTTGGTATATTTTCAGAAACAGCACTAAACATAAGCTGTATATCTTATGCCACTTGTGGAATTGCTTTTGGAGGGTTCAATTAAGCCTAGCTTTTTGGAGTATCCTCTCCCTTCTGAGACTTTAAATCTTCCTTCTTCTTCATGATTTGTTGTATACCTTCATGATACCCCTCTATGAAACTTTTAAATGCATCTTTATATGCTGAAGCTCTCGCAATGTAAACGCACTGCAAAGCTGGCTTTAGTATCTCCATTCCGCCCCTCACAGCCACAAAAATGAATTTATTGCTTGTAAAAGATGTTAACAATTTCAGAATCCCATGCAATCAATAAAATAACAAAAGCAATTAGATACGGAAATTTTTTTATTTTGGTTTTGGGGGGGTCGTTCTTTCTAATACACTACAGAAGAATCTTAAATGTACAATCGTCAAAACAGTCCAATGGTTACCGAGTATTGAAACATGTACTTCATGATGAAAAAAACAACAAAAAACAGTGTTTTCAAATGCTCCATCCCATGCAATTCAAAAAATAAATAAATTGTTCCATCCTGCAAACTATTTTCTTTCCTCTTCATGTCCTTCTACAAAAGATGTTTCATTGCGACGTTCTTGAGCCCATGATTACATGCTGAAACCATTGCTATACCCACATTTATTTAAGTTGGCGCAAACTCAATTTCACCTAGACCACAGGATCATACTAGAAAGACCCAGTCATTACCCACAATATAAAAGATCATGCTAGGAGATCTACCAATTACCTTAGCACCAAAAAAGACTTAAAATGCACCTAATCCAGCAAAATTTTCTTTCGAAAATCATAAACATTAACTAAGAGTGATCATTAAAATGCAGAATTCAAGTATCACGACAACTTCCCAAGCAAGAATATCTGATGGCCAACACCTTACAAAATAATATGCAACAGAAATGCGGACAAATAAAAACTAACCGTCATTAATTTGTTGAACTTTCATTCTGCAGCCATCAACTTCAGCCACTTGGGTAGGGACAGACAAGGATTCTCTCAACTTTTTTACTTCTATTTATGAACTTGTTTGTTGGTCGCTGATGTTGTTGGGGCGATCAAGGGTTATATAGATGAAATGAACATAATCATAATAACAAGGGTTAAAAGATGGTACAACAAAATCCATAAACGCTCAACAAAGTGTTGATTCATAGGAGATGAAATTTAAAATTTTGCTCGATTGCTTTAAAAGCTAATTGATTCTTGTATAATCGGGGTATTGAGTTGAACATTGGTCTACGCTTATTTATAGGTACCTGTGGGATCTATCAGGCTTAAACAATTTTCCTTACAATTAGAAGGTATGGCTACTTTGATAACAATATCACTGGGACTTAGGTTTGTAGTAATGACTTGTGGGTTTTGCAATATCTATTCTGTACCACCTCAAACTACAATCCACAACAGTACTCACATTGTGCTTCAGTCAAACAACAGATTCTTCAGACATTTAAAGGTCAGCCTCATACATTTATGAAGCATATGAAGCAAACAAGATACTCATATGGCATAATATAATCCAATCATTAAGCTGTCTGCCAGCATTTTACAGATTTCTCACCAAGATCCTCCAAAATGGAGGATTCTCGCTCTTCAGCTGCACCATTTACTCTATCGGGCTTGCCTTCACTTTCGTACTTCTTATAATCGTTTGGCCGAAGATCAGTCTCAATATCTCTTACCTAACTCACAGCATAAAGCCTAGATGCTTCTTTCAACACCTGAAGAATAATTATATATTACAAAATCACTTATCATTAAATGCATACTTTGTTAATTGAAGTCATACATGAGTCGAAGAATTGGTTCCTTGTGAACTTAATTTAATACAAAACATAATTCACAAAACAAGATAAATGACAAATGAGGATCTTACAGCAATTAGTGAACAAACTAAAGAGAACCTAAAATTTCCCCCTTTTAATGTTTCATTTGCTAAAAAAATCATTTGCGGGTCAACTAAACAACAGAGCTAATTCAAACCTTGGAACATTCACAAAACAAAAAGAATCAATACCATATGATACCTTGACAAAAAGCATATACTACTAATAATCAGAAATCGAATTCAAATGCTCCCATCTCCCTTTTAGTTCCGGTCAACTACAGCACAATCGTGTGGAAAATAGGCTGCGTGGGCCATACCAAGCATGAATAGAGCCCCTGACTCCGGGTGAGGCGTAAGTTGGCGATTCACAACCATTCATATGTCGTAGCTCCTTCTTTGAGTACAGGGTGTAGGCCGTTGCCATTCGTTCCGAGTGCTGCAAAAGAAGCTAAGCCACCGCCTTGTGACACTTCTTGATATGATGTGGATCAGGCAAAGACGAAGGGAATGCAATTTCTTTCAGATCATAGTGTACGTAATCATACACCTTCCTCCAAACCACCTTCTATTTCATTCCACCATAATCTGTCAAAAAGTATATGTGAATAAACAAGAAAAGAACTGGGTACATTGAAAATGCATATTCTTTAGCATTTCAGTAGACTTACCAGTAAAAGAGCTCGAATTCTTTAGCTATTGCTGTCTATAACGCTACACCACACAGAACCATCATTCTTATTTCCTACTAACCACAAACATGAGATTTTCCCAAACGGATAGAGACTGGAGAGAGGGAGAGATGCTCGTTATCATAATGAGGTAAGTTTTAATTAAACCACACCTGTTTCACCCGTTTCTATATTCTGTAATAAGTATCTGCAAACATACCTTTGGGGCAATATATCGAACGTCTGGAGGCCAATAAAAAGGGCACACACACTCTCACATATTCTCTATATATCAATGCGAAATAGATTCATAGCCACTAATGACAGCCAATGTCGATCGAAGAGAGAGAGGGAGACTTCAGAGTCTCTTTTGACGAAAGCAACATATCAACAAAACAGTGACGAATCGCAAGGACTGGGGTGGGCTCGAGTTGGTCTAAGTAGAAATCAAAGCAGCGAGGTCTAGGAATCGTGGGCTCCTGGCCATTGGTCGTGGAAAATTCTGGTCCAATTTGTAAGCCCATCCTAAAGGGGTTGGGTTTCAGCTTGGCCTCTCCAACGTGCTTTACAAATCAATCGGGTCGATCTGGGCCAAGTCACAAATAGAATCAAGCTGAACATGTGTCTCTGCACTTAGGCACAAGGGCTTGTACTCCTAGCTCTTAGGGGTGTTTGGATGGCTGGATAAACCATGTTGGATTGGGTAAACAATCTGTGGGGGTCCATTTATCTTTGTTTTGGCGAGACATTTTAAGGTCGGATATTCGTAACTTTTCAAAAACTTAGCCGGAGTGATTGTGCTCGTTTATCCTCTCTGGAGTGGAAAAACAAATCCCACCAAAATTTTGGGATTTAGCAGCAGCCATTACACTCCTGTAAAGCAAAAATAGGGTTTCTTTATCTTATCTTCAGCCATTTTCACTGGTCCTCATCGAACGGCACCAACTCCTTCCATCAAAAAGGTATTCTCTCTCTCTTTTATCTACATTTATTTATATATATCGGTTGAGAGAAGTTGGTCTATGTCGGTGTATCGATTTGAGACACCGAGCAAATCTATTGTTGTGATTGAAGACATCGACTGTTCAGCACAAAAACTAGTAAAAGATGAAACAGAAACCAAAAGCAAAGGGGTTACTCTTTTTGGGATTCTGAATTTCATTGATGGGTTTTAGTCAGCTTGTGGAGGAGAGAGACTCACCGTCTTTACAACAAATTATGTGGACAAACTCGATCAAGCGCTTATTCGGAGGGGAAGAATGGACAAGCACATTGAATTATCGTACTTTAGCTTTGAAGCATTCAAGGTTCTAGCAAAGAATTACCTTAATCTTGAGACCGACCATCTTTTTGTGAAAATTTATGAGTATTTAGAGGAAATTAATGTGTCCCCTGCAGATGTTGCGAAAATTTTGATGCCAAAGCTTGTTCCTGGGGAGGCAGAGACTTGCATGGAGAGTCTGATCGGAGCTCTTGAGAAGCCAAAGAGGAAGCAAGGCTGAAGACTGAGGAAGAAGCTAAAGCCAAAGAATCATCAACTAATGAAGCCATAGAGAGAGAGAAAGATGGAGAGAAAGAAAAAAACATCTGAAGAACAAACAGAGTAAGGAACAATCAATTGGAAAAGCAAATGAGAGCAAGCCATCATACGAAAACGAATTAGAAGGAGAAGGAGATGGGTTCATCAAGATAAGCAAATGTGAAAAATTGGTGGATCAAATATTCTTGATTTTTTTAACTTTTTTATATTTTTGGTGGATCAAATAATTTTGTGATTATCTTCTTAAAATGTTTTTTTAAGTGAACTGTGTAAAAGTTGGAATTTTACGATACATAAGTACGTCTATCTTTTCACTTAAATATGAAAGTGGTAATCAACAATTCGCAAGTCAAAAATGACATAAGATTTGATAGAATTTAAGGGTAAAATTATCAATTAATGTTAAAGTGATGAGATGTTTAAAAAAAAATTATAGCTTGTTCATAGCAACACTACATCATAAATCACTAACCAACTCAAGGATTGGATTAACCAATTTGCTTTTATCCCACTATAAATCTGGATTATTGGATTTTCATTGGACTGGTTTGGAATTTAAATCCAACTCAGTCCAATTCATCATTGATTTGCCAAACATCCCTTTAAGGTTTGTTTGATAGATTTTTGGAGAAGATTTGGATTAACTACTCCAAACTCTTTCAAACTCAAATTTTTTTTACAAAGATGAAATTCAATATTAAATTTAATTAATATCTATGTTTGTATGCAGCACATATATATATAGGACTCACAAATATATCATAATTATTAACAATTATTTGTTCTATAAATAATTATTTTGTCTCTTGATCAATCCAATTTATACACATGTTAAGGGGTACAATTATTTTTTGCATCCTTAATCTTCTAATTCGTCTTCCCAAAATCCCCTCAAATTTGATAAAACTCATAATCATAAGTTTAGTATCCGAACCAGCTGTGGACTAAATTTGATAACTCAGGAATGAAAATTTTATAAGATTTGAGAGTCCTTTAGACCATTTTTCTTAGACCCTTGGAAATCAATCCCCCCCCCCCCCCAAAAAAGAAAAAAAAAAAAACCCACAAAACAAATAGACTCTTAGTGTATGTCAATGATTGAATCTAATCTTTGATAATTCTGAAATTTCAAATTTAATATGTTTTCACGCCACTTAAGGGTCAACTGTTTTATTTCTAAAAAATATATTATAATCTATCTCAAGTCACGATTACTGAATTTAAGGAAGCACTCGATGCTTGTACATCACTCATATTTAACCCTTAAATAAACTACATGGAGGGAAGGACGACCACCAACAAATTCTTAACAATACTCAATCGGTCAATCCTATTTACAATCAAAGTGAGAAACACTATGGCACCACTTCTTTACTTTTCGAGCTTAAAAAATAATAAACTCCACCTAGAAAGTTGGAAAATGAATCGAAAAAATAGTAAGTGGATTCAAAAGATGAAAGCACCCTAAAAATTGACAACTTTTATCTAAAAAATTGTATAAATACCAAAAAATTGTAAATAATACAATACCAAAAATTATTTTTTAGTACCATAGTCTAACCCCAATCAAGACGAAGTAATCAAATTTGTATTTATTGGTAAGGGATTTAGGTCTTAGTTGACTTTTTTCACTTAGACCCGTCAATTCTTGCTTAACCTGATTATACAAGATTATTAATAGATCACGTATAAGTAAATTGATTTCAACACGATAATACTTAGCGATGATGCAAACTCGTCATGACAAGATCGGTTGTTAATTCTGATACTGGTTACATGTAAAATTTATTGTCTTATAATTAACCTAAGATTAACATGTAGCGCTCTCTCTCTCTATTTGTGATCTCATTGTGGGTATTGGGCTCCACAATAAGGCACAAATAGGCCCCAAGAAAATTCTAAAATAGGGATTTACCACAACACTATTAGAAAGTTAAGGTGTGTTTAATTTGTATATATATATATATATATATATATATATATATATATATATATATATATATATATATTTGAATATAAAAAATAGAAGAGAAGTTATTTGGACAGCAAGAAGGTCAAAATTTTAAAGAATACTAATAACACATTTTTGCCAATTTTAAAGAAAAATTAAAAACACGGAATGTAATCTGTTATACACTTAATACATCATTTAAAGGGAAAAAAATTTCTCTCTCATCTGTATCTTTTACTCTGCTTCCAAACAAACCAAACCAGATCCATCCCTTCAAAACCATCAATCTCGCCCAAAGCTCTCGTCTTTCAAGTGGCACAAGCTAACGAGAAGAAATTCGATAACAAGCTCCTAAAGAATCCTCATTACACGTGCTTTAAGTTTTCTTGCACTATTAATTAATTTTGCATATTTTCTTGATGCTGGCTTTCTCCTTAGATCTAGTCATATGCAAATCAGAAATTTGGGATAATACAATGTTGTTGACTTTGTTTTGTCAATTTTTTCATTGAGAAGAAGGATGACATATTTGCTGAATATTTAATTTTTATTTTTGGCTGAGATTTGTCCATGCACATTTAACACTTGTTAAAAACCGTTTTTTTTTTTTTTTTTTCATTTTATAAATTTTGTGGGTTAATTTCTAGCATCAGATAATACAATATTAAGAATTTTGTGAGTAAATCTTGTTCGTCCACATATTGTATAATTCTAGCTGAATAAAAAACCTTGGTAAGACAACGCTTATTTTCAAAAGATTTTTACTAAATAATCAATTCAAATTATATATTATATTTTTATGATTTTTTTGGATCACTGTCAAACATATTTTATTATTTTTATTTTTTAAAACTTTTTTCCAAATCATATAATCAAACTAGTTCTGAGATACAAAAAAAATTCAAAACACAATTTTTTTAAACTCTTCTCAAAAACATATTTTTTTATATTGTTTTTTTAAGAACATAGTCAAATAGATCCCTACTTTCTTCTTTTTTTTTTGCTTGTGACCCCTAACTTCTTAGTTTGTATTACTTATTTCCTTAATGCTAAAAAAGAGGGGGTAATGCCTCAAAACAATTGTTCCAAATTGTGTCATGCTCATACACCATAAAAAATTACTTTTATTTTTAAAATTGTTAAAATAAAAGAATGACAAATTACTTTTATTCCTAGCTTACCTTTGAAGGGTGTCCATGTTTACGCAACAAGGACTTTCCACAATATATCATATAGAGGTTTAATGACAGAATTAGTTGGAAATTCATCATCAGCAATAAACCCAGTGACACTGACTGAGCCAAGAAGGAACCAGGGGGTCCCTAGTCCACCAGGAAATTTCCAAATTTCCAACTGTTATGATTTTCTTCCAATGGAAAATTTGCATTGTGATTACCTTTTATTTCATTTATGTGTTCTTATTTCGAAAATGATACTATTTGTAATTGGCCCCGATTAACCTCTATTTTTTTTTATGATTTGTCATTACAGCTGTAATCAAATCGAATTACTCGAACTCGGCTTGGGTTTGACTTGTTTTTGGCTCATTCAAGATTAACTCGTTATTTAAATGAGTCGAACTTAAACAATTTTTTAGGTTAGTTTAAAAAACGAGTCCGACAGACTCGATTCATTTATATATAAATATTCGACCTGAGCTCAGATTCGACTTGTTCAAATTTTGCTTGAACTCATTCGAGTTTGTTTTGATTATCAGCCTTATCTATCACAACAACCACAAATAAAGAGTCATCGATCATATGAAACTTAAAAAAGAAACTCATTAATATTTGAAATCGATTGCTAATTAATATTGTTAAGTTGCTCAATGCAGTTGTTACCCTTTTTCGTGAGATCTAAGTGCATACTAAGGAGAGAAAATCACATTCAAGGGAATCTGCACCTATCTATAGTAATTGAATAAGAAACGAGATATAAAACCGATTACTATACGTGCATAACTCTGGATTTAACCGATTTCTATAGATAACAAATGCATTTGAATTTTACAATGTATTGTATATACAATAACTAAACCTCCAAAATATCACATGAACATAAAAATTTCCGTGGGATGACTCACCATAGTGAATTGACGATTTTATAGTAATGTTATATTTACTAAATTCTTATTAAAATTTTTATCTCTTCTGGGTGTGTTCAAATTTTTGATTACCTACAAATCTCGACCCTACCCGACTCTATTAATCTGTTACCCAGAAGAATTGGGTAGACCAACGAAAGATTTTTAGGTATTTCACAAAAAATTAGGTAAGAATGTGGAATACTTACAAAATTTTTGTATTCCTACCCTACCATACTCGTGTGTCTATATATATATGAAAAAGTGCGAAAAACATGAATCACAAACTGTAGATATAAATGTGGAATGCAAATATTGAAATAAATCTTTATATTCACAAAATAAAGAAATTACAAGTTACTGAAATTAACTTATAAATAAGTTACTAGGAAATGTTACTGAAGAAGAAGCTCTTCATTTGCATCATTATGAAGGCTAAGATACAATATGAGAGTGGGGGAGAGGAGAGAGTGTTTGCTGGTTTTAGTGAGTCTGTCAATATATATATAATGTATTGAAGTTTATAACTTTTTTGTTGTGTTTTTTTGTAATTATTTATGTATTATTGAATTTATTGTATTTTTTTTAGTGTTATTAGTTTATTATGTCAGTTAATTGGTGCATGTTACTTAATTAAATTGTTAAAATAATTCAAAAATTAATAACTAAAAAATATGTGTTCACCCCATTTTCTATTTAATGGTTTGAGACGAAATTTGAGTAAGAATAATACACTTGATCAAGTAGGATAAATCAAGAAACAATTATTTCACAAAATATCAGGTAGAAAAATAAATTAGCATAATTCCTACTCGTGAACACCTCTAATCTCTTATATGTGGCATAATTTTTCTCATTAAATATTAAAGAAACTCATTTATTTGATGATGAAAACTGTATTACATCACTTGGGACGAAAAACCTAGTAAAAAATCTTGATAAGTAAAATATTGTTGCGATTTTTATCTCCTCTTAAAAGAATTATTGGATGTAACCATTGTCCCATGTCATCAAATTGACAGGATGTAACCATCCAATGAAAAAACAAGTAAACAAGTAGATTCCACGTAATTAAATAACTACTCATTGATTCCACGTAATTAAATAATTACTCACTTCACGTGAAATTCAATTATTCATTTATTATCTTATTATTAAATAATTATATCATATTAATATAATAAAAAAGTATAACCGTCACGCCGATATTGTTTACTCTTGTTGGTGTCAGGTGGGGTTGCAACTGTAGGCCCCAGAAAAGGATTTCTAACGTACGCTGAAAGTAAGCTAAAGGACATATTCGAAAGCTAACAGAATATTTTTATCTTTAGATGAAACCAATGGAAGTTGGCAAGAGACAAATTCTCTGTTTCTGCGTGTGTGCGTGATTTTTTACCTTCGTTCAAGAGTCCATTGATAATTTAGGTTTTATAGGTGTAAGGGGTAGAACCCTCCACTCAGGATTTCGGCTTGACTTGGGTTAATCTACGCGGGCGACCCCCCAGTAGCCTTTACCTCTCTTCGTCAATAGGACCCTTTCCTAAGGTAATCCCACATCGGAAGAGAGTCGTCTTCCCCCTCGCATATAAGCCCTTGCACTCAAAGGAGGAGGTACCCACTAGCGACCTGATCAGGTGCCTAGTGGGTACCTCCTCCTTTGAGTGCAAGGGCTTATATGCGAGGGGGAAGACGACTCTCTTCCGATGTGGGATTGCCTTAGGAAAGGGTCCTATTGGCAAAGAAAGGTAAAGGCTACTGGGGGGTCGCCCGCGTGGGTTAACCCAGGTCAAGTCGAAATCCTGAGTGGAGGGTTCTACCCCTTACAATAGGTATTCGCACAACACCTCTTATTTATAAATTCACGCTCATCTTTATACACAGTTAGATATAAAATTATCAATTTGTAAAATAAAAAAAATCTCTCTTCTCTGTGAATAATTTATTGAACAATGGTGTGTGAGAGAGACTGTCTGTGTGTTTGTGAGGGCGAGTGTTTGTGTGTGTGTGTGTGAGTGAGAGAGAGAGAGAGAAAAGGGGAGAGGGAGGGGTGTTGTGCTTGTGGATGTTAATTGTAATTAAAAAAGGTAGGCGTTTTTATAGCCGTTAATTTTTGGTGGTAAGTGTGGTGGAACATTGACTTTTTTCAGAGTAGGAGTAAGATTTGGACATGCTCATTATTGTTATACTATACCCACTTCTATTAGGAATTGACACACTCTCCTCGCAACGTGCACGGCATCTCTCTCTCTCTCCCCTGCAAACGCTTAAGAACACTTCAAACTAAAAACCCATCTCCTCCCTCTTCTCATGGATCTTCTTCCACCACCCATAACACAAAAGCTCCACCTTCTCTCTTCTCCATTCTTCACCAAGAGACAACTTAGTTATACCCTATCCTTTCTGTCTCTTCTCATCACCTCCATTATTTTCTGTAAGATCATAACCCTATATCAACCACAGTCTCTAATTGGTATTAATTTCTTCTCCAAAATCCTACCCAACAATCAAAATCCACCATTAAAGACTTGTGACTACTCAAATGGCAGATGGGTTTGGGATGAAACTTACCCACTTCAAAAGTACACCGAGAACTGTCCGTTTCTCGATCCCGGTTTCCGGTGCCGTGAAAGCGGTCGGCAAGACGGAGATTATCTCAAATGGCGATGGCAACCAGAAGGTTGTGATCTTCCAAGGTATGAGTTAGAATAATTCAGTACTCTAGGCTGGTTTGCTGTATATTATACCTCCACTCCATTACTTGCATGCATCAATTTTTAATTTCTTTATTAGTTTTTAGGAAAGCACCCATCAATGACTATGAACTTGACCATGGTTTAGTTTAATGAAAACCCATTGCCCAAGACTAGTTCAAAAATAATTTTATTTAGTTTGATGGGGGTGATAATACAAGTTGTTAGAATTTGAGCAAAACTTAATAATTATCGTAAAAGAGAGTTTGTAGGGTAATTAATGTGAAATTCCTGAATTGAATAAGAAAGAAGTTGGAAAATTGAAAATATTTCTTGAATAGATTTATTAGTGATCAAATCAACTAGGAAACAAATTAAAAGAATTTTAAATTTAACATGAACAAGTATATTAAACATGTGATAAAAAATATAAAGAAAAAAAACCTATATATGTATTATTCACTGGAAAGTGGTCATTTTATAATTCATGACATCATACTCAACTCTATTTATAGAGGTATAAAATACTCTAATCTATATCTATTCAGATGCAAATTGATTTCTATGTTTTCTCACACATGTCTAGTATATTGATCAATAATAAACCTACTCAAGGAATATTATATTTTTTCAACTTCTTCCCTATTCAATTCAGAATTTTCGTATTGATTACTTAATAAACTTCTCTTTATTATAATTAGAGAGTTTGAGTCAAATTCTAATACAAGTTCTATCGAGTTTGACTTATTCATATGATGTTGTAAGCGACCACGAGAGATGCAATTATTTATGGCGATAAATTTATTAAAAACTAGCGTTGAAAATAGGGATCAAACAATGTTGTGCTAAAGTGATAGTAAAGTTTGAATTTTAAGGCCCTCTTTGGATGAGAGTAATCCTAATCGAAATAAGTATCTCATTTTTAGTAAAGTGATACCAAGGTTTCAAAAATCAGAGTAATCTTTTATTTAGTGTTTGGTGTCCTTAGTAATCTATTATAAGAATGTATATCTATTTCATTATTGTTTTTAGTAATAAACTTTATTTTAGGAAGGAAAATGATTTTAGGAAAATAGCTTAGCTTTGAATTTGAATGTTTTTTCCTTTTTTAGAATACCCAATTAAGTTGGGTATGAGATTACCATCATTGATGGTGGGTTTAAGATTTTCACTATCATCGAGAATTTGATTCCAATAATGATCTTATTCCCGATATAAATTATTGACTCATTAACCACCCAAGCATAGTAATTTGTTGATTTAGGAATGAGATTACCATTCCTAATTAAGATTATTGTCATCCAAACAAAGCCTAAATGGTAAGAGTGGAACTAAAAATTCGACTTTTAAATGTTACATAATTTGGTTCCTTTTTTGTTTCATTTTTCAGTCAAGATAATAGTATCTTTATTCTTTTTATCGTTTTTAAGAAACAAATACCCAAAATTTACATAATGCAATTTATAGATTAACTAGTAATAATCTCGTACCTGAAGGCACTAAGTAACTAAAAAAACCTGGAGGACTGGTCATGCAATATAAATATTTTCAAACAATAGTTTATTTTTTATTATTCTCTTTAGTTACACATTTCAAAATCAATTTGAAAACACTATTCTTTAAAAAATTTTGACAAAATTTCCTCTAAAAACATGACCTTTAAAAAATATAAACATATACACAATTTATATATTTAATCATTATACCTAAAAAATATCTTCTTTTTTTGGTACAAATAAAGAGAGATTGAGTATGAGATAGATAGAGAGAGAATATGAATATGAGATAGATAGAGAGATAGAGTTTTAAGAGATAAAAGAGTGTGTATTTAAAATGTGTGAGATATAGGAGAGAGAGATGTAAAATGAATGAAAATCCAATTAAGATCATATATATATATATATATATATATATATATATATATGTTAATGAACCTTTAATTTATTTGAGATAATCTTTGCTATTAGAGTTTTAATGGGTATTAGATATATGTTAATGAACATGTTATTTGTTTAGATAATTTTTGTTATTAGAGTTTTAATGAGTATTAGATATATTTTATTATTATTAGATATATACAGCTCTCTAAGAGAGAGTTGTATAAAAGATGAGAAAGTGTGTGTTTAAAACGTATGAGAATTAAGAGAGAGAATTATATGAGAGATGAGAGTCTTAGAGTTGTAAAAAAATGAAAGTCCAATTAAAGAGAGAGAGAATCGTATGTAAGTATGAGATAGAGAGAGAGAGTTAGATGATAGATAAGAGTCTTAGAAAACTTGCATATGAGTACTGTCGGATCAATAATAGTCGAGCGATCTAAACCACGAAAAACTTTGCACAAACTTTTATAACTACTTTATTATATAGATATATCAAAATAAAGAGTTTTTAGATTCAAAATGGCAATACTAGCTACAAAGACAACTATTTTCAAGGACAAAATGGTTGTGTTTAGAAAACATGATCATCCGATATTGTAATTGTGTCGATTTGATTTCTTATTTGAATGGTTTGTTCACATCACTTATTATCCTTAAATACAGTAGTTGTCCGGCAAAATTTTGGCAAAGGAGACTTTGTTGAATTAAAAATTTCAGGACTAAAAATATTGTATCTTTTAGAAAACTGGTTTTAAGGACATTAGTAGTACTTTTTCTTAGGGATTTTAATTCTTCAATCTAATTGTCATGAATTTTTCAAAAAAAAAAAAATCTAATTGTCATGTAATTTCACAAAAAAATAAGAAGATTAATCAAAATTGGCAGGTTTCAAGGTAATAAAACGCATCTTTTATTAGTTGACGTGGATAAATTCTCACCATGCAAAAAGAATTAATGAATTCTTTAATTATTTTACAATTGGAGAAGAGTCAGATAAACGTAAGAGGCATATACTTCCTCTTTGTGGATTTGGATCCCCTCCATTATCTCTTCCCCTCAATTCTCCTCAATGTAGTGTTAGATAAGTGACATGTATAAATTCTGAATTTCAATGGACAAGACTTTTTCCTTATGGAAAAATTCTTTAATAATAGTTAACATTCCGCCAATAATAAAATGAATGAGAAAAAATTTTGTTCATTAAAATTTAAAATTTACACATGTCATTCATCTAGCACTGCATTAAAGAAAATTGAAGAAAAGAGATAATGGAGGGAATCTAAATTCCCTCTTTGTTACTTTTTTTTTTCCCTTTCTTTACTCACTTATAATTCTCATATTTTATTTCCACCAAAACCAGCTTTTAATGTTACATTGCATCTTTCCCCATGTAATTAAGGGTGGTAAATGATTTGAGCTACTTTGGCTTTATTAGGATTTGGTTCGTTTTAAACTCCACTCGTTTTTGTCTGTTTAAAACATAAATTGAGCCTGAATAATTTTTGGGCTCGTTAGAACATGAGCTCAATAAGCTCGACTCATTTTAAACTTAAACTCGCAAAATTTGACTCGTGTTTAGTTTAACTCGAACTTGGTTCGTTTTGGGCTCAACTTATTTTGAAATTTCAACTTATAAGACTTTTTTAAAAAAAAGGCCAAGATTGAACATTTTTTCAAGTCCATGTGCTCCACTTGTTTTGCTTCCAAGAAAATAGAGGGTAAAAATCTCATGGTAGAAAGTTTATATCCTCAAAGTTTGGATTTGGAACTGGTAGGTATTCAAATAATACGACCCAACTCTTTCTCCTCATTGTTTGTTGCCCTCTATTTTTGGTTGTCCCCAGATTCAATGCAACTGATTTTCTAGAACGGAGCCGGAACGGCAGGATAGTTTTCGCCGGCGACTCCATCGGGCGAAACCAATGGGAGTCTCTAATATGCATGCTTGCACAAGGAGTTTCAACCCAGTCCACTATATATGAAGACAATGGGAACCCCATAAGTAAACACAAAGGCTATCTCTCTATCCGATTCGCAGAGTACAACCTCACAGTTGAATACTACAGGGTGCCTTCCTGGTGGTTACCGGTCGGCCGCCACCAAAAGCATCCAAGGAAGTTCGGACCACCCTCAGGGTTGACACACTGCACTGGTATTCAAACAAATGGGTTAAAGCAGATGTGCTCATGTTCAGTGCTGGACATTGGTGGAACCAGGATAAGACTGTAAAGATGTATGAGCTTACCTCCTCTGTACATATTTTTATATCCTATATACAACTCAAAGGGGGTCGAATTAGAATCGATCCAAAAAAAACTTGAAATCAAACCCAATTTCTGAAGATCGATCTCAAATTGTTGGACCTCATTAAACCATAACCTGACATCTTTTGGTCATAATTCGCCCTCATTGGAACGAAAGTCATGAAATTTGATCCAAATCTTCACCGTTATGTTGTCTTTCAGGGGGTGCTTTTTCCAGGTGGGAGAAACTGTGAACATGACAATGGATGTGATGGAAGCATTTCAGAGGTCATTACAGACTTGGAAGTCATGGGTAATTCAGAGTTTAGATCCACAGAGAAGTCATATCTTCTTCCGCAGCTACTCACCGGTGCATTACAGGCAGGTTATGTCTACCAAAAAAAAAAAAGTTGAATTAATGGCTGCCGTAGTAGCTTCTCTTTCCCTAGAACTCTCCATGGCGAGCAGAGAAAAAAACATTAGTGGTGCTCTGAGAATTGCAGAAGATTATAATGAAGTTTTTCGAAAGATCAGAATTTAAACAGCTATAATAGGTTTATTATCTTATTTGAAATGCATTAAAGGCATGTGATCCTGAGAAGGGCTGTCAAGATTGATGTAGGGGTATCAATCGAGTAGTGTTGCATCATATTCGAAATTATGTCATGTGATAATCTTTGTGGATGCAGTGTACTAACTCATCCTATTCCATCTGGAATGGCAGGGACGGAACATGGAATGAAGGTGGTCACTGTGACGCTAATGTGGCGCCAGAAACGAACAACACAAAACTGGAACCTGATCCAGTCAACAATCTGTTTATTTCTGATGTAATCAAACAGATGGAAAGTGCAAAAAGAAAGATTCAGTTCTTAAACATTACATATCTTGCAGAATTTAGGAAAGATGGTCACCCTTCAAGCCACCGAGAGGTGGGCACTCCAATCCCAGCCCCACAAGACTGCAGCCATTGGTGCCTACCTGGAGTCCCAGACACATGGAATGAACTTCTTTATGCCCAACTACTGTCAAATGGATTCAGAACAAAAATTGAGGGTACCTAGCAATAAAAACTCTTCTCCGAAACAAAGGGCTGGAGTTTTCAGCAATGCTTTTACACAGACTATTCCTCAGCATTTTGGTTGGAGTTCACCCTACTGGTTTCCAATTTCCTCAACCTCCTCAAGCTACCTCAAGAGATATAACCTTTCTGGTCCATAGGGTATCTGCAACAAACACCACCTCAGTACTGCTGGTTGAGCTTTTGAAAGAACTGACACAAGAAAACTCCAGGTCAGGAAATACACATTGGAGCTGGTACATATCTCTCTCCATTACAACCACATTGCTACATGCCCACAGCAGTTACCTGTACATGGGGTATTTATTTATTTTTCATTTTTTGATCCAATGTTGTATAAATTTTGCAATAGTTAAAGGGTTCTTACTTTTTACTAGGACTAACCCAAAGTGACACCACCCGATAATGACCACGTCAAGACTCCATTGGCACCCCTACCTTGCAAGGCGTATGGTAGCACCAAGAGAAACAGAACATCAAGGGTTTCTCTAATTGTGTAAATACTTCATGCTTAAAGAAATATTTACATGAAAGCAAAGGTTCTTTTTTTACTTTTGGGTTAATCAATAAATAAACATCCATTGTGAAAGCTATTCATATAAATTACTCTTTTATCCTGAACCAGCCAAACAAAGACACTAGATCATGAAGTCAATATAACTCAGCCGTGGTTCAGACAAGGCAGGGCATTGCCATTCCTATACCATGCATATGTGGCCACATCCCCATCCTTTCTGTTCTATTTAATTGCTATCCCTCAGAAGAACCCTAAATGCTAACCAATTTATGTTTGAACTTTGAATCAAACAGACTAGTAAACAAAGATAGCCAATTGGTCTTTACCTTATTTCTTCTACTATAAGGAAAACAAGGATGATAAATATATACAGCTCTGGTTTATCCAATTCATAACAATTCTGAAGTGTTTCCATAATTTACACATCAAGCAGAATCAGATTTTTTTTTTTTCAAACTCATTTACCAAACTACAGTTCTTCAATGAAAAAGGTTCTGCATAGATAAGGATCTGTAAAAATACCCCAATCCATAATGGATGAATAATCCATCACAAACACCACAGGTACAAAAATAGTAATACGCATCACAAGTAAGACTGAAGTAATAAAAATAAGCTCAATGTTCAACAGCAAAAGTGAATTCTAGCAATAATGTTCCTCCACTCACTTCACCAAACAACATAATCAAGTGCAGGGGTGTTAAAATATGATACGGCCCGACACAAATACAAATGAAATTAGAAGATTTGTGCCTTCTTGGGAAATTTGAACAATACTGCGAATAGAGTGATTGACCCACAAACTGAAAGGTTTCAACCTGAATCTACCAGTTCAATATTCAATCATAAATTTGAAAAACAAAAACTAAATAGTTTTATGCCATCAACAACAATAGAAAGAACGGAATTTGAAAAAATAAAAAGCAAAAGAAGCAAATTTTCAATATGTAATTCTGTTATCATTGACAGAAAAACCCTAGCTTCCATGGAAACGCGGAATGCAACCAGCTATGGAAACGAAAACCCATCAGAAAAGAAAAAAGAAGAAGAAGATTACGAAGCTCACTGCTGGTGAAACTCCACTGGCATGAATGAGAGAGAAAATCTGCGGAAAATTTTCCTTCTTGGGCCTCCATGTGCAAGTGGGCTCTTCGACTAGTATGGTGGTTACGGACTATTAGAGATGGGCTCTTGCTTTCTTTATAGATAATTGAGTTTTCAAACTCAAGGTCCGCTATGGAAAAGAGAAGGGACGGAAAAATAGGAAGGATAACTTTTTCTTTCATAAAGGAAAGGAAAGTATTTCCTATTTTTTTTATGTTTGGTAGGAAGATGGAAAAGTAGAATCGATTATTTTTTTATTTTCCTATTTGGTTTGAGCTGAAAAATAAAAATAAATTTTTTTACCTTTTAAATACCATAAATACCCTTGTATTAGAGTATTTTATAACATGAGTTGTGAGTTGTGTTGTAATTAATGTATATCTATCAACATTTATTATTTAACATGTGTGCCCCATCTATGGATTCACATATTTGAAAAACATATCTAACTAATAAATTTGAAGGGTATAAATGTAAATTCTTGAACTCCACCCATCATGTGCAGCTTTGTTCCCCATTTTCGGAGGGATTAGATTTAATGAGCGAGATGAATTTAGTTTTCGTCCACTTTTCCCTTCCACTCTTATTTCCCTCCAAACCAAACTAAGGAAATTGTATTTTTCCTTCCCTATTTTTTACCCTTTATTTTTCATTCACCCATATTTCCTTCCTACCAAACAACTTGTCATCCTTGGAGCTTGATGCCCAACTTTCTAGTTCAATTACTTGTCGACGATTGACTTTAAATGTATATTTGTGACTTTTTTGTTCCGTATTTGCAATTTGAATGTGGATTTTTTTTTTCATTTGGTAAGTAGTTGGCCTCAAATTTTTTGTAATCGATTTAAGTTGGGATCCACTCTAAATTAAATTCTTAGATTCGCCCCTACTTATCCTAATCCCACATCCCTTTGGTTCATATTTTGATTTTATGGGGATATGAGGAAATTGTTTAAAATTTTTGTATACAAAATTCATACCCTAAGAGAAGGGGATTAGAGGATTCGAACCCAAAAATAAAACATGGATGGGATATTCGTAGTCCTCAAAATATCATTGGAGGGTTGTAGATCTTCTAATTGTTTTCTTTTTATTTTTTGCGAAGTGTGAATGAAATATCGACAAGCTCAAACATGTAAGACTAACAAATTTTTCCAAACC